GAATGAGAAAAAATAGAATTACTGAAACAAAAAAAGTAGACATTGGGTGACCAATACAGAATTGAAACGAAAGAATTAAGAGTAGAAATTAGAACTTTGAAAGATTTAGTAAAAAATTAGAAGACGAACTAATACCTATTCTATAAAGATCCTAAAAAATCTAATAAAATCTTCAACAAACTCCAATTAAACCTTAATAATGTTAATCAAGCTTTAATCAAATCCAAAAGAAATTTTAAAGGAATTACAAAAGAAACATGAAGAAATCCTAAAGAAGTATTAGAGAAATTTTAAATAAATCTTAAATAAATTCTAATAAAATCCTATTTTAATCCTAATTAAAATTATAATAGATCTTAACTAAATCCTAAATCAAACCTTTACTACATTCTAAATCTTAAATCTTAAATCAAATCTTAGACAAATCCTAATCTCTATACAAATTCTAAACTCTAAAACCAAATTCTAGAAAAATTCTAAAAATAAATCCTAAATAAATCTTAAATCCTAAACCCTAAACAAACTCTAAATCCTAAACCAAATCCTAGACAAATCCTAAATCTTAAATCAAACCTTTGAAAAATCTTAAATCCTAAACCAAATCTTAGACAAAACCTAAGTCTTAAACAAACCTAAACAAATCCTAAATCCTAAGCCATAAATAAATCCTAGATCCTAAGCCAAATCGTAGACAAATCCTAAATCCTAGACAAATTCAAACCAATCCTAAGACAAATTAGAACCTCAACATCAATTGATTGAACTGTTGATCTTGCTTAAAAATTTAAAAACCTTTGAACCTCATAGTTAAAAATAAGTACAAAAAATTTGAAGATAATTGCACTTACCAAATAGAAAAAAAAAAAAAAAAAAAAAAAAAAAAATCCTAAAATTTTCTTGAGTATTGGCCAGCTTCCTACTCCAATCTAAATGTTGAACTTCTAATACCAATAAATCCTTTCTAAAACCTTGAATTTTTTCCAAAATTCACTTAAATTGTTAGGAATCAAGTTCAGTCTCCATACAAAAAAAAAAAAAAAAAAAAAAAAAAAAACACTTTAATCCAATAGACAAATTACTAAAAATCTTAAAAATACTTTATGACTTTCAAACTCCAATTTTTGAGACCTCAATCTACAAAAACTTTCACACACTTTCATATAATTGTTAGATTGATCTTAAATTTTTAATACACATCAAAGACAACTATATCCACCAACCTACAAAATTGCATCTATAGATCTGCTATAAAACTCCCAAAATTGCCCAAAACATCAATCCTATTTTATTTCACAAAAATCCAAGTCACTCGAAACAACCTTGACTTTGTAAAGCTCTTACAAAGTCTTGAAAAATCCAAATCAATCAAAATCAATTCTTATAGAAACTCTATCAAGTTTTCTCTCAAATCTTGTTCTTTAATCTCCAAAGAACCTTAGAGTCACGTTAAGTGCATGGTTTTGTGCCTTAGGATCTGATTTCGACCTAAGTTGACAGCTGGTCCTTTCGAAGTATCAATTCTTGGCTTCATGAGGTAAACTTTGCTAAAATCTACTCTTAACTTCTTTTTACACATGGCTATATCATTTTATTTCCCAATCTACTTTGTTTTGCCTTATTTATGGTCCTACAAAGTAAGTAGAAGCCTATTTTGTAAATAGGCAGCAATAGTATCCTTAAGTTTTACTATCTTTTGACTATTATCTTTATTCTAAAAAATTATTCTATAATATTTTAAAATAAGATCTTCTATAATATTTTTTTTTTCTCCTTTTCATTCATTAGTCATATTATATCACAATAGAGTCTATGAAGCTTTGAAGAAGCTTCTTTAGAATATATTATGAAATTAACTTATTTTTACCTACTTCTATCTAATCATATAAGTAACTATTAAAATAAATACAAATTTTTGTGACAATCAAACACTTGAAATCTTTCAAATGAAATAAGCAAAAGTAAATTTTATTGCACCATTGAAATCACAATCCTCAAAAATGAAGAAGTAGATTACTTTTAAATTCCAAAATTTCAAAAATATAAGAATTTACCAACCTTAAAGTCCATAATTAAAGCATCTATATTATCCAAATTATACATATTTTATAAAAAAATAAATATATCACTATATTCACAACAATTTAAAATAAGGATGAACTCACTTTAAAATATTGAAATTCCTCAAATATAAAAAAATCAATTATATCTTCAAAAGTCAAAATGTCTATATCTACCAAATCAAAAAGATATAAGTAAATTCTATTGCATTGTTAGAATGACAACTCCCAAAAATGGAGAGATAGATCAACTCAAAATCTCAAAAAAAATATGCCAATTTTTTAGAAATGAGTATGTAATCTTAAACTCTAAACCATAACCTTAAACCATAAACCTTAATCCAAGTATTTATTTATTTATCTTTAAATTTCTTCATAAAATCCATTAATTTTTTCATAATAGAATAGTAGATAGATATGTGGATAGAGTGATGTTGAAAAAGATTAATAGTAGTACATATTAGAAGAAAGATGGAGTGTATAAAAATCATGTTAGTAGAACTCCCAACTTCATTCAAAAATATAGTAAAAATTAGCATAATCATATACAATCCATTACATAGATTTAGAATATAGATAATATAATTTTAAATTTTATATATATATATATATATATATATATATATAAAATTATATAATAATTAAAAGCATATTTTGGTATTTTAAAAACTTCATATCTCCTAAACTGTAAACTTGTTGAAGATTTGAAACATACTATTAGAATCACAAGCATAAAAAATAGGAAAGTAAGTCAAATCAAAACTTCAAAAAATACAAAGTACAAAAAATATCAACAAAAAATTGTATCAAGTCAAACTCCTTAAATGTCAAAATTAAAAAATATATATAGGATTCTAAGTCCACCATTAGATTTTAGGTTCTTAAAATAGGAGATAGGTCAAATCAAAACTTAAAAAATCCTATCCATATGCAAAATCAATACAAAAATTAAAACAATCCAACACTTAATATTCACAAATATGAATATTTTTAGAAAAAAATTAGCATATATTTATAATAAACTACTCCAAAACGGATCCAATAGGCTTTTAATAAATTTCAAAAACTCTAATATGACAAATGTCAAAATCCTAAAGTACAAATCAAAAAAGCTATATCTTTCAAATTATGAAGCTATATAAGAAAATATTTATACCATTGAAATCCTAAATATTACAAATAAGGAGGTAGGTCAAGTTGAAATAAGTCACTTTATTATCACACACTATATGCATAAGAAATCAATGGATGAAGTCATGATAATACAACTTTCATCCATATATAAATCATTCATTCAAAGTCCAAACAACGAGTGTCATACCATTTTGGAATAGTAATGCATGGCCCTGCAATGTGCCAAAATCAAAATTACTAAAGTTAATCCGCTACAAAAGTCAGCTCTAAACCAGCAACAAAGTCAATTGGTATATATTTCAAAAAGTAAGCATTTCTACGAAAATCTAAGACCACTAATGGATTCTCCACGTTTTGAAAAGGAGAGGGCAGGAAGGGGGGGAGGAGGGGAGAGGGAGAAGGTAGGACTAAAACTTTGAAAATAATGAGTTCTTAAATCTTAAGATCCCAATGTCAACATAAAATATGCAAAGTCAAATCTTTAATATTTTTCAAATGGAATAAGCATAAGTAAATTTTATTATACCATTGGAATTACAGTCCTTGTAAATGGAGGATTAGATCACCTTCAAATTCCAAAATTTCAAAAATATAAAAATTTATCAATCCTAAAATCCATTATTAAAGCCTCCACATAATCCAAACCAAATATTTTTGAGAAAAACTAAATACACTATTAGATTCACAACATTCTAAAATAGAGGGATAAGTCACCTCAAAATATTGAAATTCTTCAAAAATAAAAAAAGTCAATTCTATCTTCAAAAGTCAAATTATCTATATCTACCAAATAAAAGAGACATAAATAAATTTTATTGCATCATTGGAATCACAACTCTCAAATATAGAGGGATAGGTCAACTCAAAATCTCAAAAAAATATATACCAGTTTTTTGGGAACACACATATAATCCTAAACCCTAAATCATAAATCCTAAAAAATCTTAAACCTTAAACTTGGTTCAAATAATTACCTATTCTTTTATTAATATATATATATATATATATATATATGTATATTAATTTTTTTAATAATTTATTATCTATCTATATAGAAAAATTGAGCAACCTATATTTGTATGTAGCATCAAAAAATCCCATTGGCTAGTGCAATAGGAGGCATTGATTGTTTTCTTTTTTCAATCGCACTAAGGAGCACTAATAGTAAAGAATTCCCAGAATGGAATGACAACACTAATTGGCAGCATAATCATGAGTAATTATGGGTTTAATCCCAAGAATATGTATATATATATATATATATATAGTGTTACTAATTAAGAATATGAAAATTAAATATAAATTTTTTTAATAAATTTAATAATCTCTTAACAATAAAAATAAGTAATCAATTAAATTGAACTTGTGAAACCATTAATATTGATATAAAATATATACAATTTAAAATTAAAAAACCAAAATTAAAGATAAAATAGATAGTAAAAAAAAAAAAAAAAAAAAAAAAAAAAATCTAATTGGCAAAGTTCCGAAGAATTTAAGTAGATTTTTTTAAATAAAATGAAGTTCCATTGTCATAATAGTTAGCTATTCAATATGTTTTCCATATCGCATGAGTTAACATTTATTTTTACTTAATTAATATGGACAGTGTACCAAAAGTAACTTGGTACTAGAAATTATTTAATAAGTAGAAAATAAATCTAGCCAATAGATATCTTCCTAATCTCTTATAACAAAGAGATTTTCACTTGCATACACAGGAGCATGTTCAAACTTGATCACTCCATACTCAAAATTAAAACCGCTTCACTTCCTTTCAAATCCAGCGGTTGGAGGCAGAAAGTCACGGTCAGGAAAACTATTCACTGTAGTATGTCTACATAAATTGCATCGGAACTTTTAAAATAGCAATTGATGAACTTGTTACAGATCCAAGAGGCAAACCACATCATTTGGATGCCAAGGCAAGTAACCGTGGATTCGTGGATCGTTACAAATCCTAGGATAAAGGACGCACTAACTAGTACTATCATTAAAATGTAATATATAACACTGCAGTAACACAGAAGTCACAAAGAACTAGGTCTCTACAACTTTAATATACAATCAACTCGACTAGACTACAGAGCGGATTTCGACATATCATTTTTTATACTACTTTCTGCTTTGACTTTACGGGGTCTTCCACGACCTCGCCCTTCCTCAGTTTTCTTGGGAGGAGGTGGGGGCTTCGGATGCACATCCTCATCATCATCGTCATCACTACTACTATTGTCCACTTGACAGAGCTTCTCAAACTCTCGCTCTGAAAATTGTTCTCCATAGGACCGTATCTGCACCAGAAAAGCCAAAAGAAAGCCACATTAATATACATTGTTGGAAACAAATTTATAGAAATTAAATATCTTGATATTGCATGAAATGCTTAAACGAAGACTCATAATGTTAGTTGCTCTCCTGTGAAGTTCCTAAGAATTCATAGTCAATGATTGAAGCAGATATTCGGAGTCCAAACTTTGCCTTAACTATGATCTCAGTATGGAAGAACTCAATGCTAGCTTTTCCACAAGTGACGTATTAAGACAAAACAGACCCAATCAATGCTAGTACATACGTCGTTCTGTGTCAAAACCAAGCGTATCAAAAAATGGTTACAAACACTTGACAATCAGCAAGAAACAAAGGTTGCATCCTTCACCTCTCGTGCACGTTTTCCTCTCCCGTAGTCTTGAATTTCAGCCGCCCCACCTTTAGAGCTTCCTCCTTTAGAACTACCTGGCTTTTTGGTCAATTTGTTTGTCAAGACCTTGACAATGGGGCCCAGCTCCGATTCTCCTATCAACCGCGGTGGTAGAGGTGGTGGTTCACATCCAAGCTTGACTTTCACACACTGTTTCCAACGAGCCTGGATAAAGGATACAATCAATACGTGAAAAAAGAACTCATAATGTGTTCGTCTGTTTGGTAAAATTCAAAAAAAAAAAAAAATGCAAACCCTAAATGCGTACATATACTGGCATGCTTTTAGTCGTAAGAACATCCTGATCCAGAAACGCTATCTGATGAAACAAATACAGAATTCACATTCGCACACTAATAACTCATGGTTGTTTAGGATAGAGATAGATGCCAAAAATCTGCTGATTTAAGTGTTACCTGCTCCTCCTGGGCCCGCTGCTTGTCAACGGCTTCAAATATATCTATCTCCGCGTCACTGCAAAAAGACATACCAAATAGGATAAATAATTGATAAATAAATGGGATAATTTCTACACATTTGTGAGAGTTAACAGAGAAATACACATACCTTCGAGCCAACAGATCATTCAAAGCCTCATCATCCAGCACAAGAGCTACCTCTTCTTTCTTTGGTTCTCTCAAAAGAGATTCGAGATACTCCCTCCTATCTTCGGCACTGCACGCAGAAACTCCAAATATAAGTCATTATTCAAGATCTTAAAAAAGAAACGACATAAGGTCACAGCTGCAATCCATGCTGTAACCTGGAGGAAAGACAATAATACCAAATCGTCAGAGATTGAATCTGTTGTCTAGACAGCCAAAATAATAAAATTAATAACATTTACACCTTTCGAGAAAATCAGTAGACATCCTTCACAATATAAAATCTCATGGAAGGATGTAAAGTATGCTTCCGAAACTCGAATATATAGATACACTCGCTCTCAGGCTTAGTAAGTTAGTAACTTCAGAAACGAACCTGGTGTTGTCATCGAAAAAGCCAGCTGTAATACTCTGATTAGCCACACCAAGTTTGTATTCAGCTGAAGCCCTTACATGCTCCTCAATACTTTTCACCTGCATGTTTGTTTATGATTGAGTAAAGAATGAGTCAAACTGACGAAGAAGTCAAAACAAATCTGACAAATTCAGGTCTATCGAGAGGATAATGATGATGGAGCGCTGAGCCACCTAGAAGAGAAAAGTGAAAAACCTAAGTGCAATAGCGGGAGTGAGAACTACTAGGTGGAAAGCTTTAGGGAGCAGAAAAACCTTAGACATTCAACAAAGCAAGTAAAGATATCCTGATAATTCAATTTGTGAAGAAGGTGGGATGCAGTGAAATTGAGAGGCAAAAGTGTACCGTTTCAAAACGCAACACAAGCACATCTCGTTTTTGACCGATTCGGTGGGCCCTAGCTTGCGCTTGAAGATCCACCTGCGACCCGATGAACCCATACTCGAGCAGTTCGTTAAGCTGAAAATATCCTGGAACCAGGAAACATCTCTAACACGAAGTAACTCAAGTGTTGGCGACCAGGCAGCCAGGACCTACTTAGACAACAGAAATTTGACAAATACGGACACAAATAGTAAACATGACAGCTTGAAAACCTTAAGAAATTGATAATCTTGAACAAAATCGGGAGCAAAAAGAGTAAAAAAATATTCCCAAGGTGAATGCTCTAAAAATATAACCGTCGCCCAAAAAACTGAAGATGGACACGCACGGGGTAGGCAGAGGAGCAAACCTGAGGATTCCAGTCCGTATCAAAAATAATAACAGTATCAGCTGCTTGCAGATTGATTCCAATGCCTCCTGCACGAATGCTGTAAAAAAGTAACACAAGAGTTGTCAAAATCAAATTAAATTCTGGTAGGTGAAAAAATCTAGGGAATTTAGAGAAAAATGAAACATTTGACATGACGGGGCAAGTTATCCACGTGAATATGATCTATCAACGAAAGAAGGATGTAAGCAATTAACATAAAACATGAAAACATCATATCGAGTGTAAAATCTCCCACAGATCCCTCTCTAATGCTCATCAGCAGCATTTGCAGAAAAGGAATATTTTGCAAAACGTTAAAAAATGCTTGATGACTTTCAAGATATTTATCCAAAATTCAAAATTGACACATGAATATTATCTTTTCTCCAGAACTTTGCTCGTCATACAGTGTGGCTACACAACCAGTAAGACTTCAATACATCTTCAAGAACAGTAGAGGCCTTTTCCCACCTCTTTCACATTCAACTTCCACACTCTCTTTGAACAAGTAAAACCTTTTTGATAGTTGTTGCCATGCAGACAACTGAGATTTTTAATGAACTTGCAAAGAACAGAACATCGAATTGCTCGTTCCTACCTGAGTAAGAAAATAAACGCTTCTGATTGTGGAGCATTGAAGTCCTGAATAAGTGCACCTCGCTCGCTTCCACCCGTTGAACCATCTAGCCGGAGATACTTGTATCCTTTCCACTCAAGGTAGTCCTCCATTACATCTAAAAGCCTTGTCATCGTTGAAAAGAACAACACCTAATCAATTTTTTGAGTTAGTCCCACGGTTTGCATGCACAAATGTCATGTCCTGGTGAATCAATATTGCAATCATCCAACCAGACTTCAAATATTTTACATACCTAACATGCCCGATAGAAAGTCCTCAAAAAGAACCAACCGCAATACACTCTACCAAATAAGCGTCAATTGTGCACTTCTGACATCATGACCACAACTAAGAGGCACAGGAGCTACTAATGTGAAAATTGAAATTTGCAATTGAATGTGTTTACCCCTATTGTCATCCCCGGAAAATATAGACACAATGGTATCTCTCGACTGAAATCAGGCTTACTGAATGACCTTTACGAGAAGTCATTAAACTCACTTTGTGATTTGCAGCCTTCAACTTGGGTAGAATCCGGTCAAGCATTTCAAGCTTTCCACAAAAGCGAACTACAATGGGCAAGTAATGAGGTGGCAAAACTTTTTCTGTCTGCATAAACAGAAGTAGATGTTGAATCAATGTGACTACACGACTAAGAATTTAAAAATTCCAACATAATTAAATGACAACATGATGATCACACATTTAGAAAAGGCGTCATAGATAATTAGAAAATCTTCTACTTTGACTTATTAAATAGACAGTATAATTGCAGGCATGATATTATTAAGTAACCCAACCTTCCCCAATGAAATCTAATCCTTTCTCATCACAAGTACCAAGATGTAATTAGATGGTTATCAATTTACTTCAGATAGAATATTGTCAAGCATGATACTCACCTCCTCTGAATGGAGCTGGCTTAGATAAGGATGATTGCAAATGTTTCGTAGTTCCATGACGGTATTTTGTATTGAACGACCCTGCGATGCGAAAGAAAACAACTAGCTGACGATTTTTCTACGAAGCACACGACCAAAAATGCAATTGGTATATTACTACAAAAAGAATGCCTAATCACTGCTCACAAAAAACTGGATCAGTATGCAGAGTCACCAATCAGTGAGTGACTACACAGTGAGTGGTACTAAGACGATGCTGCTATGTAATGTTGAACTGCACCTTACTAGACCCATGGTAACAGAAGAAATTTGAGTAGATTCTACGCGAAATCTCAAGATGATAGTACCGCAACCCCAACGTCATACCTTTGCATGATTTAGTGACTTCATTTTGTCCTTGACGTGTTTCATAAGCAACTTCTGATATGCAGAAGCTTCGCACCGCACTAATCTTTCGATCTTCTCTGGAAGCTCATTTTCAACCTTCACACATCGGACCACAGATGTAAGAACTATGCATTTTTTTTGCTTAGCAAGAGAGCACATCTGTCCATCTTCCACATCTGTCAGACAAGAACAATCCGAGCTCGCATAATCACTCATCCATAACAAATTAAGTACACTTAATATTAAAAAAATGAAAAGCACAGTCAAACATCTTCAAAACGAAACAAAAGGAACACACAAGAAAGCAGAGACCCACCTTGTGCTTAAGCCTACGCAGCATAAACGGACGTAGAACTTGATGAAGACGGTTGATGATAAGGAGGTTTTCCTCTTCGGTCAGCAAAGCCTGCCGTGGAACACGGGAAAATTTCAGAATCCTAAAATTGATATCCAGAAACAAGTTAATTTTTTGATACATTGGGATCACACGTGTCACAAAAGGTTGACAAATACAACCTGCTCTTCAGCAGTTGGATCTGCTACATTCTCAAAAGGCTTGTTAAACCATTGGGCGAAGTCATCTGATGAATTGAATATGCTGGGCAAAAGAAAATTCAATAGTGCCCATAGCTCTTCCAAATTGTTCTGCAACAATGAGCAAAATAATGTTTAACAAAAAGAACATAAATAATGGTACAGCAATGTGCTAGTATGTGACATTTACAGTCATAACCCAGCTTTTGCTTCCAAAACTATGGAAAAGCATGAGATAGATAATAAAAAGGCTTGAATAAGAAACAAATTTAGTTGCAGCTACTTTTGAATATCTAGACACACAGAGCAAGCAAGTAACTATTGAGAAATATAAATAGTATACACGTAGGCATCCGGCGACGGTAATCACGCATAAATTCACCTCTAAATAAAGCCAACAATTCTAGTTCAAAACTAGCAAGAACTGAGAGAATCTGACTCTTACTTGAATAGGTGTTCCTGTAAGAAGTAATCTGTGAGTACTCTGATATTGTTTCAGCTCAGCATTGAGTTTACAAGAAGCATTTTTTATTCTATGGCCTTCATCTATAATAATATAATGCCAAGGAATTTTAGCCAGCTTCGGTCTGTCGTGCTTGCTCATTAGAAACTCGTATGTCGTGACGAGCACGTTGAACTGTTGTGGTTGGATTTCCTCTCTGGAAAAAACAGCATACATTAGTGCAACGTAAGGACATGCATACATTTAACCTTGAAGGGCAAAACTGAAGTTTGAGGTTTTAATGCAGACGTATAAAACATTGATTAATATACATGAGGACGCTAAATTCTCAACTCTTGAATATCTTGAGAATATGCGTCCTATACGAATACATGAATAGCTAGAGTCAAGGCTGGCTTACTTATACAGGCGACGGCGTTCATCAGGAGCACCACAATACGCTATCACAGAAACACGGGGAGCCCAACGAGATAACTCTGCCAACCAGTTGGGTAACACTGATGACGGTACCACAATCAAGAAAGGCCCGTGGTCATTCTTTGCCTCCATCAGGTAACATATAAGAGCAATAACTTGAACAGTCTTACCAAGACCCATTTCATCTGCAAGAATACCATTAAGATGATTGTTGTACAAAGACACCAACCATCGAAGACCGCTTAGCTGATACCTGCGGCACAGAATTAACGTCAAGGATAGCGGGCAACACTGGTGGCGAAAAAAACAAAAAAATAAAAAAAAGGAGAGAGACAGAAGGCCATGATCTCAAGTGATTAAGACGAGACTTGAAAACTAGTATGACGCTTCGGACTCACTCGCGTAACTTGCCACCCTCCAACGTCAGTGGCTGTTCATCCACAATCTCCTTTACACTGTATGCCAACCATTTAAAAAATAGACAGATACGTTAACTCTTATTTACAAGATTATCGTATACAAAAACAGCTATGAAGACCAAAATCAGAAGAACTAATCGAGCCATGTTCAAATAATCATGCAGATTCCCGTGCATCACTTAAAAAGAACGTTCTACTTTCAGAAGTGCAACATACACTAGGTTATGACACGTCACAAGCCTTACTACCATCGAAGCATGTACGGAATTGAGCAGAGACAAAATCTAGAATGATGAAAGATATACTTACTGACAGCACAAACGTAACAATGACGCAGAGCTTAATGGAGCTCACCCAAGGCAGACAACATACAACAAGCAGAATAAGTAACTGGCAATAAAATCATTTGTCATAACCCACCTGTGCGCCAGGGAATAATAGTTCTCATTGCTTTCAAGATAATGCTGCACAGTGCAAACCAAAAAATTCGTCAAATCTGAGAAGCAATATCAACAGCCACGAAATCCACTTGATTTTTATCACGAATATACTGGACAAAGATTTACTTGATACCTGAGTATTATCCTTGGCATCAGGTTGTTTCGCTACTTCAAAAACGGAATTATTTTCTGAATGATCGTTTTCTAGCCTTGCCAGCTCCTTCTGTTTCTGAAGTTTGACCCCCAACTTCTGCAGATAGCCTTCGGTCTCTCGTAAGAGTTTTTCAACTCTATCCGACTTCGTCTCCTGTGCCAAGAACTAAAGGTCAATACAGGAAAAAACTCTTCTAAACCGTCTAAAGAGCATCTACAAAAAAACAAACCAAACCTTGGCGAATTCGTGATTCATCATTCAAGTAATAACAGCAGTGCTCCTGAAATCCATAGTCGGCTTCAAAGAAACTCCAGAATCATATGTGAGGCAATACACCCAATTATGAAGTCTTAGTTAGGAAAAATCTAACCTGAACCATACGAAGGTAGCCAGCAACATCGTTGTTTTTTAAGGCATTAATTCTGTCACGTTGAAGCTTGTCAGCTTTCTCACGATAGATGCGTTCTTTCTTCTTATGGAACTCCTTGACATAACGATTGAATCCCAACAAGCGGTGTGCTTTCCTCTTCGATAACTCGTCCATTTTCTCCCTGTGATGTACAAATTATGGATCAATAAGTTTCTCCAGTTCAGTTCAAATCATTAATGTATTTAATAAGGCTGTGAAAAGCTGCGACCAGGTTTCCTAAACCCTAAACCCTGAACCCTAAACCTGCGACCAGGTTTCCTAAAACATGACACTTGCGACGTTTTCCATGTCAAACAATTCGCATGTAGCAAACACGAGTATTTCCAAAAAGTTAAGAAACGTGATAAATGTGAACCCGGCATGAGATTTTGCATTTGTTTTCAATTCAGTCTCAATGGCCGCGTATTACAAAGAGATCGGTTGAGGCTTAAATAAACGAAAATACGAAAACATCTGACAACAATGATAACAACAAAAGGACAAACATCTGAAACAACGAAAATACCTATGAGATTCAACTTCACGACAGAACTCTCTTTGCTTCTCTCTGTTGCGCCTCTGTCTCTCTTCCTTCTGCTTCAACTCAAGCTTTTCCAACTGCTTCAGTCGTCTTCCTGCACGGTTCCTTTTCATAGTCCGCAGTGTTGCCATATCCGCCATAACAGGCTTGAAAAAGTCATGCAAAAAGTCTCTGCAAAAAATACACAGCATGGCAATGCATGAGAACCAGTCATCTGCACCACACTACAATATCCACAGGAAAACGTAACTGAGTCTAAACTCCACGTCGTTAGTATATTTTAATATTGTCAAGTATATGGATCATGTGAACGGGCACTCGAACTTCCTCGACATCCCCAATAGCCAAATTGTGAACAATCAAAAGCAAATTCCTTACTCAACCACAAACATGCAGAGTCTCATAAGTAAACCAAGACTCTAAGACACTTCTAAATGAGAATCTGACTCTTTCCATTACTTCTTTAGAATCTGTTTCATGAACTTTCTTGCACCTGCGTAGCTGCCGCTGCAGTTGTAGTAATTGCAACTTCTTTAGTTCGATTACGCTCCTAGTCTTAATAGATATATCCTCGGTGGAGCGCACGGTCTCCTGTACAGATGCCATGGGCAACATAGGATCATAGTTAAGTATACGAGCATTAAGGACATGTAAAAAGAGAATCGCATTATTGTTACAATACATCATCTCATCAAGATTGTGATTGATAGAAAGAAGCACTGTAAATGCTACAAAAAACAGAAAAATGCGAGAATGTTTATATTTCAAAACACGCTAGCAGCATCATTCGAGGACAGGAGCAAAATGCATTATCACCTTGACTTCATGATAACGTATGGCTATGTGTTCTTCAGTTTTCTTCTGCTTAAATGACCAATTCTGATCTGCAATGGCTTTACGCTTCCGTTCATACAATGTCAATTTGTCCATTATGGTGTACTTCGGAGGACCAGTTGGAGGGGCATTCAGTTGGGGGATATCCACCTCCATTCTGTTCATCGCAGGCCCATCCTCAATAGGCGTTCTCCAGTTACCGTGGAATTCACTACTGCTTGACATTGGAGTCCTTTCAGGAAGTTTAAAGCCCTGTTTCATTTGGTTGGCATGTAAAGCGCCATTGCGTTGATGAACCTGAGGAAGTTGGTGTGGTGATGAGGTATTCGATGTGCCAGTAGGGTAAAGACCACTTCTCCTCTTAGGTTGAGGTGGGGTCATGAAACTAGGGTCTTCAGGGGGAGTAGCATTTGCCCTCATGGAAAGATTATAGGCATTAGCGGCCTGTAGATAAGGTTGCCCAGGAATTCCATCTCCGTGTGCCACACGGAAGAGTTGATTTTTATACAGATTTGGGTTTTTGGATGCTTCTAACTTTCTTGCAAGTTCTGAAAGTTGAGCATGATTGGCTACAATACCCGGTTGTGATTTTGGATCTTGAGCTTGGACAACCGGATGCAAATCAGAGAACCTCTTCATCCCTATTGAAGGAGGAATTGAAATCATGGAATTCTGTCCCTCCTGAGACACTTGTGACGCTAAACTTCTCGGTAGCCCTGCGCCAATGTTGTCATCAGTCCTTTTCTGAAGCTGAATATTGCGAAGTTCACTTACTTCAGTATGTGTCTCAGTAGCTTGCGCTAAAACCTCGGCCCTTTCGCCACCCGCATTTGCTGCAGCTCCATCGGCACGAACAGTGTTCGGTAGGTTGTCTGGTGAGATATCTGTCATTAGTGCTGCATTATTGCCATCACTTTCAGAGGGACGCACAGAGTCAGCAACTGACTGAAAATCCCTGGTTAGTGATTGTAGCTCTCTAGAGGAAGCATTATTTTCCTCAGGTGATACAGTAGTACCTGTGCAGGACTCAACAACCTGTTGGGTAACGTGCTTGTCAGTAGAGGTCTCTGCGCGTACATTTTGCCCATCCAGATCCTGATTCTCAGCCGGCGTTGTCAGCGAACTACTATCAACATGCCCTGGAGATACCTCAGCGGTGCTGCACCCTCCAAATTCCAAAACTGCGGCCCCGTTCGTAAGCACCTTGACTTCTGAAATTGCGGGATTCAACTCCTCACGCCTTGTAGTGGAATTCAAGATGCGCTCAGCAGGTTCATCCGCTCCTTCCAAAATGCTGGCATCGACAGGCTTCTGAACCTGAAGCTGCTCCTGATTTTTCATACACACTCCCTCTGTAGGAGGGGGATATGAAAGTACCATAGAATCTGTGTGCACACTGCCTTCATTAGGCTTCAACGAGGGAGGCCCAACAGCAAGCATGGAATCTATTGAACTAGTCGCTGGCACCTCAACTTTCTCTGGATTGAACGATGTCAGGCCTGATGGTAGCTCAGGGACATTGCCCGACTTCTCCTCTAATCCAAGCTCGTCACCTTTCGTTCGTCTTCCACCTCTAGGAGCTTCATAAAACCAACTGCAAAGTTAAAATACTAAATTCACAGTAAAAAATCAGGCGCAAGATAAATTTGCATGAGTACACAGCATCTATTTCAGACGAAGCCAACATCACACGAAATCCGGGCTTAGGCCAAGAGAACAGCGCTAACGCTGCAATCCTAAACCTAAACTCAAAACATCGACTTAGCTGGCATGAGAGCTGAAAACCCTCACCCGTGCATATCATACTGCAGCAACAACTACAGGTGCTAGTACAGTAACGTCTCACTGGCCCCCAAAATGTGTATTACAAAGAAAGGGCAGCGAGGTCAAAGCTTGTCTCAGAACATGACTTAAACCTTGTTTATGATGACGAAACGTATGGTTACAGTTGGGAAGATTGATACTTTGAGACATGGCAGCTTAATACTTTGATTTTAGATCATAAAAACATCAGAAAATCCAGATTGATTCGGTAGTCTCAGCCTCTCCACTAGACACATGAATGACGACATTTCGCAACATCGAATTAAGACTGCTAGTACCTTTCTTCTTCGGGTTGTGCAAGGCCAGTTGCATCTGCGTTTTCTTTGGCTCCTTGGATGCCCTGGAGCAAACACAACAGGTAAGAATAAGGCTTAGACAAACCATGGTTCTTTTATGAAGCACAGAAAAATAAAATAAAAAACCTAACTCACCCAAACTCTCATTAAAAATATAAACAAGTGTCACAAAATGAAAATCCTAATTTGACTGAACAAACCTCATAGCCAAAAACACGAGGCATTGTGCTCTTAGCTGCTTCAACTGATAGTCAGAAAATACAGGCGCCGAGGCAGCTTCCGCAGCAAGGCCAGGCTGAACGTCACCCAATGAGCTACTACTGTTGCCAGGAGGCATAGATTGGTCAGAATCCTTCAACAGAGAACTGAACTCTGCTGATTTCTTTTTGGGGCATTTCAAATTCTTTTTACCGGAGCTAGCTGCCTCCGCTACTACCTCACTGCTACCAGTAGCATGGCTGTTCTTTGTGGTCTTCCCTTTTCTCTGTAATGCGTTAGAAAACTCACACAGTGTCAGAACATGTAGACATTAAAAAATTAACCCGGTTACTACAAATATCATTACTAAGGTAGCAAAATGCATGGAAAATAAAGTTAATCAAATGCGATACATTTATAACTAAAATATCTCAAGGATGTAGCCTGCATCATAACAACAATGCTCCCGCTGTTATCATAATACCATTACAAAAGACAGGAAGTCCACATACGAAATTGAAACTTACACTATTCTTTCACTTCCGAAAATAATAGCACCATAAAAGAACTAAAAGATCAAATAACGGCCATTCGAATTATGAATATCCTTTACTTGATGCATCACATGACCATCACTACCTGCTGAGGTGTTTGACCTCCACCCTTCACTCCGGCTGATGACTTATCAACTACGGCCACTGAAGTGGCAACACTTGGGAGGCTCGAGGACAAAGCTGCTAACTGCCCTGAGGAATTTAGCTGCTCGATGGTAAAAGCCTCATTATTTTGGCTGGCCCCATTGCCAGAACCAGGATGATTTTCATGTACAAGTGAGTTCTTGAAAGACACTAATACAGGCTGGGTGAATTGGGAATCGCCACCACTGAAATTATCCCTGCCAGTACCGCCAGCTGACTCTGAGATTATGGTACACTGAACACTACCCTGCATGTCGACTGCTGAAGACGTGAGCGAGTCATCTGTAAACGAGGTTGAAGATACCTTCAGGGCCTCAACAAGACCATCGCCAACCTGCTTCACCATGTGAGGTTCATTTCCAGGCGATTTTGACCCATCTTTAGAAATTTGTTCTTGTAATTTTCCTTCAACAGTGACTGTTGGACTTGTACCCAATGCTCCAGCGCTACCTCCGGAGGCAGTCGCAACATGATTTACACCTTCATCTGCTATGGTAGCAGCTGCTCTATCTGGCTTTTCCGAACTAACTGCTACATCTGAAATCTGGGCGCCAGTGCTGGAAGTACCTGCACTTTGAGATGGAGTTGTTGATGAAGGGTCGTCCAAGTCATCCGTCTTCTCACCTTTCTTTGTGGCCGTATTACTAACTGCCTTCTCTAGCAGGCGGGCACGAGTGCGGGTTACAACTGCAGGACAAGGTGATTTCGAACCAAAATCAGCGATGGTTTGCTGTGCAGCCTTCGCTTGTCCTCTGGTTTTGGGAGGATCGACTGACTTGGGACCAACGCTATCAGTATTGCAGGTTTTTCTGCGTGTTTGTCTAGGGGTCATCTCTACCTCCGGTTTGGTAGCAGGTTGCTTTCGTTTCTTTCCTTTGCCTACAGAATTATCTACAATGGGTGAAGTTGAAGTGGCACTAGTATCTGCATTGGTAACAATTACTGGCACCACAGCAGAGGATGGTGCGACAGAAGATATTAGCGAAGCAGAAGATACTGGTGGAGCAGCAGATGTTGGAAGGGCAACAGCTTCTGATTCTCCTGATGACAGGTTCGGCAAATGATTCGTTGGCAGGATCTGTTGAGAATGACTGGTTTTCTCTGAAAGAGCCGAGGATTGCTCGACTTGACTTTTCTCGCCAGAAAGCACAGACTCTTCTTGGTTGCTAATGTCAGAATGTAACTTCGGGGCAGTACTCGTAAGCAATGATGATGCAGGAGGAACTACACCAGAAACTGAAGTCGGGGCCGTGACTGATCCTACAGCTTGCACCGAAACTCTTGGCGAGTCTTCTTGAGAAACTGCAGATACGGTTGTACCATCATTGACTTGCACACATTGCTTCTTCTCTTCAGCACTGTGACCAGATTGATTGTCTTGCACGAGCTGAGGTGCGGATACAGATGGTACTTCCTTTTTGTCTTCAGACGTGCCACCACACTGGGTACCATTACCAGCACTTGCAGTTGTAACAGGACCTTGAACAGTAGTTGATGCAGCAAAATTGTATTGCTTCACCACTATATCAAACGCCCTATAAAGGCAAAGATAACACATCGAAGGTAAGGTTTGGGTCATCACAAAAACATTCAAAAGACAGATCCTAAAAAAATCCAATGTCCTTACAGATCACACTTGAAGATACCGAAAAAAAACCCTTGAACAAAAAACTGCCCGCCAATAGATGGTATAAAAGCAATGAATTCTTGCATATAAATGAATAAGTTTACGATACAGACATGATACTCTCAATGAAACCTTCAGAGAGCACAACACATGGCTGGTTTTTTATATGAAGTAAAGACCAACTTCAGATTCTCAAGTCTACTGTTGTGCCCTCTCCATTTCTTTTAGTTATTCGAAACTAAGTAAGCCACGAATTCTAGCTACATAATGTACATTTAACGAACAGATTCCAACCTCGAAACGATTCTGAAGGGTAGCGTCGATTCCTTCCCAGAAGATTTCATGTGCTGGCATATCTGCAGATACAACCAGAGGAATTGAAATCAGATCATAGCACACGCATTAACTTTATTGTCAGGCAATGGATTCCTTCTATTTCTACGTTTATTTACTTTCCACAGGTTAGGCTGAAGCGAGAGAGGGGATTGTGATGAACCGCATAGAGCTTAGATGCCAATTTTTTGGGGTCCTTCTTGTCTTCATCCCCGACCTTGTCGAGAAACTTAGCGGCCTCCTGCTCCACACTTGGATCCGAGGCCATGATTGTCTGCACTTTACCTGTGCTTTATCTGCAGAAGTGGAATACAGAACAGTAAATTTCGAAGCCCCTACAGAGACCACCATAAAATCGACACCCCCACCCTCCAAAATAACTAAATGAAAAAATCTCATGGAAATTTCTACATAATCTTCTGAACATGCATTCCACAATACATGTCATAACAAAGGAACAGTGCTTTATCACAAGATTCCCTATTACATGTGAAACACACAAATCAAAAAGTGCGATATTGCAAATCGAGACCACGATGGGGCGGGATATTAAACGGATAGTCATGAAGTATCTATTGACCTGAATTCCCAACATTAGAAGAAATACGCCGCTAAAAAGGATATATGGATTGTGATTCCACAATATTCCCCCTCATATCTAAACTCATACTCTTGTGTCTACGTCTAAAGTCCTTGGGATAGATAAAGCACCAAACTAGATGAAACTTTTGTGACAATTCAATTAAAAGCTGAAGCTACAAGCAGTGCTTTTGAGCTATTCGAAATCACCAGCGGGACAAGACCCATCTGCCTCACATGGGGAAGTTGACTTGGATAGATTCTCGTTTATGAGTCAAGTTCGATGCTGATGAAACATCACCAAAAACATAAATAATCTAAAGGAAGAAACCCTAATTACAGAAAAATTGCCTGAAGGACTCGTTCATATCCTCCTAACAGATGACAACATTTTCTGTAAATGAAGCATATTAAGGAGACGACATCGAGCGCGAACAGCGTAACCCTTGACGATATCTTCAACTGCAGAGGCAAAAACACGCACAAAAACAAAAACAAAAAAAACAAAAAAACAAAAAAAAAAAAAAAAAAAAAAAAAATGCTGAGCAAAGGAGAAGATCACCGATGGATCGTTTGTGCCGCAAAAAGTGAGCGATTGAGGGATGGTAGAGCAGCAACAGAAAATCTGGACCATCTCCTCCGAAGCAAATGTGTCATCCCGGATAGTCAAGGTGCAGTGTGCAGAGTTGCAAATGCAGAGTGGCAATACCCATACGGACCTAGGGTTTGGAGCAAGTGAGTTGAAAGTCCACTTGGAAATCCATTCGACAGATAACCCTACGTCGAGGCAAGGGAAGGGAGTTGGGAAGAGTAGATGTGAAGAAATGCCACGGCAATGTTGGAGAACGAGGATGTGGAATCAGTAGCAACAGAAGAAGTGGACGACGCAAAACGCGCAGAGCAGAGAAAAGAGAGCAAAGCGCGATAGAGTGGGGGAAAGGAGACCAAAGGCGGGGGGGGGGGGGTCAGCGCGGTGGTGGTGGTGGTGAGAGAGGGGGGAAGGTAGATAGGCGACAACAAATATGGCGCAAGCGGAGGGATGAAGTGATGACAGACAACCCGCCAACCCGGGAACAACAACAACAACAACAACCAGGGCCCGCGCTCAAGGGGGTTGGGGGGGGGGGGGGGGGCTACACGCAGCGACAGTGGGGGAAGGGGAGGGCAGGGAGAACAACGCACACCCAGCTGATGGATGGATGGATGGATGGATGGATGGATGACCAGGAAGGAACACGACAAATAAGGCACCGTAGTAGTAGTAGCAATCACTCTCCCACTTTTTACCCAGTTCCAGTAGTAGAGTGAGTGAGTTAGTTGCTCCAAAGAGATCTCTCTCTCTCTCTGGATCCCTCCCTCCCTCTGGATCCCTCCCTCCCTCTGGATCCCTCTGCTCCCCTCTCTCTCTCTCTCTCTCTCTCTCTCTCTCTGTCTCTCCCTCTCCGTTCGTCCGTCTCTGTTCTCACCGTTCGTCCGTCTCTGTTCTCACCGTTCGTCTTCTTCTACTTCTTTTTCTTCTTCCTGGTTTCAACCCCCCTCAGAAGTGATACTTACAATGATTTCCAAGTGGTACTATTACATACATACATACACCCCCACTGGTACTACTACATACATACAATGCTTCTCCACGTCTATAGCCATCCATCCTTCCTTCTTCCCATCCATCCTTCCTTCTTCCCATCCATCCGCCCACCCCTTCCTTTCCTTCCTCCTGGTGCACCCCTTTTGTATTGTCGTCCTGATCTCCCCCTCCGCCTCCCAACCACACGCATCATCAAAATGCAGAAGTTGAGTCTCATACCAAAATCAAGAATGAACTCAAAATGACAATGTCAACTTACTACATCAATCATATCAAATTATTTGCAAAATAAATATGCAACTACCTCTATTTAAATAATTTTACAAGTAATATGTCCCTACAATAAATTATCCTGTGAAAACAAATAACCTCTAATAATTAATCAAAATTATGGAAACCAACTATGTTCTATAGAATAATTTTTGAGAAAAAAAAGGAAACAAATATTTCTATTTAAGTAAGTAATTCTATAATAAAATCAACTTAATATATAAAACTAAAACGAATCAATATTGATCATGTATGTTATTTTTATTTTTTTTGAAGATTGTTAAACCAGAGTAATATAGTTTAATTAGAACAATATAATTATAGAAAAAATAAATTTTGTTTAACAAGATGGTGTATAGGAAATGTAACTTATCCCAATAATCATATATATATATATATATATATATAAGAATTTGGCTTAAATTACAAAATAATTTATATTGCTCTACTTGGTAACTTGTAATTTTTCTTTTTGTAATAAGACATGAAATGTTTTAGTCTACAAAGTTTTATCATTTAATTTTTTAAAACGTATAAAAAGAACTTATATTTATATTAAATTAATCTAAAAATATTATGTTATTAAACTAAATTCTTAATGTTCTTTTAAAATATATGTATTCAATGATGTTTTAATAGACACGTCTATTTTTAATATGAATATTAATTTATCTATTTCATTAAAGCAACTTCATGTAGAAGATATGGGATTCTTAAAATAAAATAATGAAAATACATTAAACATATTTATTGAATAAAATTGAAGATAACATAACACATATCATAACTTTATATACATATAGTTATAATTAACTGATGTTCTTATTATAAGTTCTAGGAGTATATATTTTATTAGTAGTACATTTTCTATATCATTAACGTAGTTTTATATGCTAGTTATAAAATAATAATTTCAATTGAAGTCAAGAAAAATATATCAATAATAAAATATTAGATTAGAATTTATAAGATCAACCAAAGAGTTATTGGTAGAATAAAAGAAGTAGAAGTTACAAGAAAAATTATATTTATAATAAGTCTTTAAAAAGAATACAATTTTTTTATAAAATTTGTAATGTACACTATTACAAAGACTATATTTCTTGATTTAAAAAATCAATATCTCACCACACATTGTTTTAAAAAAATATTTAAAAAAAGGCTTTGTAACTTGACTTTTTGTAAATTTATTAATGTTTTGTAAAAAGATTCTTTACATTATGTTTTAATCAATGTATTAGAAAATAATTTAGACAAAATCTAAATTATATTATATTTTTAAAAAATCATATTATGATATTATAATAACAAGAATGATTTTTTTAAAACATTAGTAGAGAATTATGAATGTTTTAAATCATTTTTCTTTCATTCTTAATTCTACTAAGATAAAAATACATCTTCTAATTATTTTCTATTAAATTTCAATAAACCAATTCTTGCAATTGAAATTGTTTCTTTCATAACTTGCAACAATTTTAGAAGTTTGTCATGTGTTTGTATTCTATATTTTTGTTGCAACTCTCTTAAAGCTAAGTACAATAAAAATATTTTAATTGATTGGACTACAATGTAATAATGTGATAATATTACTTGCAATTAGTACAAAAAAAAATCGATACATTTTCAATCACATTATTTAAAATTTCAAAAAGGACTACATACAAAATAAAAGTTTACTTTTGAGTAAATTTTAAAGATTAACGAAAATAATTATGAATAAAAATGCAACATTCTAGAGTTTAAGTCTATGAATTATTCTAAGAAACACAAAATAGAATCACAGAAATATTCATCCACAAATTATATTAAAAAATTATCAAATGTATGTAGTTATTGATTGAGTAAATACAAATATAATATTTTTTCTCTCCATCTATGTATATACAAAAATAAATATTGAGTCTAAAAATTTGTATTAAAAGATAAAAATGAAAACATAAAACAACATCTAGAACATATAATCTTAAAGGCACATATATTAATTATAAATATATAGTTTAATTATAAAAGTTAGAACAAACCTATAAAACAATTAATAGTTATTGGAAGAAACAAACCACGATTTTTTCTGGACATCTTCAAAAATGATTTTTTTAGTCAAATTCGTACATTGTCAAATCTTTTTGCTAATATTTTATTGAAATAATTTAAATATGCGTGAAGTATTTTTCATCACTAAGTCACTTGAAACAAAGATTGTGTCCTTACAAAACAATAACCTAACCAAATATTATGCCTAAACTGTAAAACAATTTTTGAGAGACTGAAGTACTTCAATATTACGCTAGATCCTCGAATTAAGTATCCAAGTCCTCAACAGAAGCTTGGTGATACAAAGGCGAGTGCTCGCCACTTGATGCGTTGGTGGTAGCATTATACTGGCCATAGAATGCATACACCAGTACTGCTATTGCTGTGACAACGCCAAACCTTACCCAAGCTTCCCAGTGCAGCTGTCAAATACACATTCAAGGATTTTAATGGTTTAGCTTATACCCCTTTAGTAAAAAGATGCACTAAACCATGTCTGATTGTTGTAGAAAAATATATATTTACCAACCAAACGTAACAGATTCCTGTAAAATACGGCATTCACAAGTGTCACAGCACGACCGCCACTACACAGTGCTCCTTTCTGCCAACACAAAGTACAGCACAGACCACCTCAAGTGCAAAATTGAAGTGAAAAGATGGAATGAATTGAACTAGAAATCACCTGAGCAAAAAGAAACATATTAAACCCGATGCTCAGCACAGGTAGAAGAGGAACCCAAGGGCATGCAAACCCAGATGGCCGCCTGTACTCCTGCGAGGTTTAAATCGATTGATTTTCATATTAAATACTTAGCAAACTTCCTCAGAATAGGAGATTGAAATCATCTGAATAGTTACAAAACAACAAAGATAATGAGATATGCAAACCTGGCGAGTGAGCAGTGGTATTAATAGTAATCCCATTATCACCAACAAAACTATCTCATAGGTTACTGGGCCGCCCGTCCTATAACACAACCCCACCAAAAACCCACACAAACTTATACCCAACATACAGAGTACAGCTTCGTTCCACCGGGTAAGGCCCTTCTGTGGCAGCTGGTCCTCCCCATCCTGCCATTGATTCTCAGTGTTTATGCGTAGCATGACCACGCACGCACATACAATGGAGTAAGAGGCCTGTTTCCAACTCCACGAAGGCACATGAGCATCAGACAACGAGCATATGGGGTGAATCAGAATTTTCGATCTTAAATTAGCGCTAAGGAACCACCTCCCATCCTAGAAAATCTCCACGCTACATGGCCTCTATGATGCAAATATTAAACGCAACGCGTTGGTCAATACGTCTAGGACCTACAATATTTGGCTAGAACTTGAAATATGATGAGAGCAATAGGTCTACAAGTTATCCTTACCAGGCAACCAACCGATAGAATATGCGAGAGATGGCTGACATTAAAAAACCCTGCCAAAATAGCTGCCACGCTACCAACCCATACTTGAGCTGTCACAGGCGTCTGATGATGAGCATCAATCTTCGCAAAAAAGGCAGGCAGCAAACCATCTCGTCCCAGACCCAAGTACAATCGGGACTGCACACAACAAATGCATTTTCGCTCAATCAAAAATTACTCTGAACCAGGCATAAGAATTCATAACGTCGATCTGCTTTCATAAACGAGCATCAAAGTACAACACATGGACATTAAGGAAAGGACGACAATAAGAATACATACTCAATTGAATTTAGCACCTGCACATATAGGCCGACAAGAACCGTAGTGGTCAAGCCACAAACAGCACCCACACTGATGAGGATGCTGACAAAGTTTAATCCCTTGTCCATAAAAGCATTAGCAAGCGGGGCATCACCCCCAAGGTTGATATAGGGCACCATACCAGTGACCACAAAGCAGACTGCCACATACAAACCTGCACATACGAATAAGCTCACGAGTATGCCTATAGGCAAATCCCGCTGCAGACATAGGTACAGAGTTCAGAAATAGAAGTTCTCTACATGATGCCACAGGTGGCTCAAGGGTTTAGAACATATTATGACTTGAAACATAACATGATTCAGCATTGAACAGACACTGGTTCCATCACCAAATATTATGCAAAGAAGTAATCAACATCAGCAATCGTGGCCTGATTATACCTGTGGGTTTTTACACTCCTCCGCAGAATTCGCAACGGCATCAAACCCCACATAGGCAAAAAAGACTACCGTCGCCCCAGTGATTACAGGCGTCAACCCATTCGGTGTAAAAGGTGTCCAATTTGATGTATCAACTTCGAAACTTCCCACCGCAATAACCATCAGCACTATAGAAACCTGCTTTATGTCATCCAACTAAAATTTAGAAAGCGAAGCTACTTGAGCTCTCTACAGAAACTTAATCCAGAAGAGGAAAATATTTCAACCAGTATTAAGAAAGAACCTGGGCACCTTCGCTATAGTCATGACATCGTTCACCACACTTGATTCTTTGACACCTTGACATAGAATGATAGTCAGCCCAACCAGTAACAAAGGCGCTATTACGTTTATGGACAGCGCACCACCAAACAGCTCGAGACCTCCTGGTCCTACCCATGGTGGCAGAGCTTTCACAATCGGAAAAATCTGCATAATGGATTGAAAATGACAGGAGTTGATTTTCTACGTCATCTACTATAACAAGCACCAACATGCAGCAAGAGCTGGAAGTGATGTTTGCCAAATAACAAGATTACATCCAAGATAAGAATAATTAGCGATGTTTTCTGCAAAAATTTAACCTCAAGTGAAAGATAAAGAGGAATAAATTATTTCCATTATTTACCAGTGGACAATGTATAATGATACGGTACTACTTAATTTAAGGAACAACACAATATGATGCTTGAGAAGGTTTAGAGATGTAAGAAAGTCAAAAGTAAGATTACCTGAAGTGAGGTTACCAGATAACTTGCAAGGCTACGGGTGATGCTTGCCGCCCCAATGTGATAGTCCAACATAAGATGACAGAAAACTAAAAACGCCGTAAGCTCATTAAATGTGGAATAGGAATACATATAAGCACCCCCTACGAGGGCTGGAAACCGACTGGAAAGTTCCGCATAGCTGAGGGCGTTAGGGACGCACGCAGTTGCTGCCAGTGCAAAACTTACCACGACAGCTGCACACAACAGATACACGCTGGTTCGATCAAAATTTGTTCGAAAAAGGTAAGGTTTGGCTTCATCAGATTTATGACAATCAAAGGATTTATAGCATGATTATTGAAACAGAACATTTAAATGGCTGGGAAGGACTTTTTATATACGCTCACAAGAATTCATTTTCAGAACGTACCAGCTCCCCAAGCTAAAGCCCCAGATATACAAAACTCATTGTTGAGATGCTGTGCTTTCAGGATCGAATTTCCAAAGCATGAAAAATGCTTCTTAAATGAATTTGACTATCACATACATTGGAAGGCCAACAAGGTGAAGGGATCAGCTCATAAATAAACTACTGGTAGAACTACAAAAGCAGCTTTCTTATGCCAAAAAATTATTACTCACCTGGGCCTGCATCGTGTGCTACGGTGCCCGTTACAACGAAAATCCCCGCCCCAATAGATGCTCCGATTCCAAGAAGAATGAGATCCGCTAACCCCAATTTGCGACTAAGGCCTCCATCAGAGGAGATTCCTCCTAATCGCTTGGAATGAGTAGTGCCATTCCCAAACAGAGGGGGCGCGCTTTTAATGCGCGTCGCTGAGGAAGAGAATTGTGACCACCAAGATCTGACCCCAAGCCGCTGCGATGCGGCCATCCCAGCAAAATAATCAAGGAAAGTGATATGAGCTTGAATAACACTGAGATAGACGCAACCTCAGTGTTCTATTACCCGACTAACAAACTTTCGTCGCTTCAGTACACGCCTGCTTTGCGCAACCTTCAGTTATAAATTGGAAGATCACACGAGAAGGCACCGAGGGTAGTTTCCTAAAGCACATGATTACTCACACACCACCACCTCATTCGTTGAGATCAAACCCTGACATGATTCGCACACTCGTCTCAGCGAGAAACTTCGTAGGAACATAAAGCCAAAAATTTGCTAAAATCGCCAAAACTGCCTAAAGCCTACTCGCTCTGGGTACTCTGAATGACGACCAGATTCAACCCACCTTGCTGTTGTGGACTGTCCAAAATTACATTATACAGTTAGTTTGGCCTCCTCAATGTCGTAAAAGAACAAAATTGAACTACCAAGATAACGTAAGACCGAACAAACTCTTTTGCAAACCTAGTCACTAAAAATCTCATGTCAATACCGTAAAATGGTGGTGGTCTGTATTTCAAGTATTTGTGGGGGGGGTGAGAGATACTTCAAAAGGGGGGCGTTAAAAAGTGGGAAAAGACGGAATCAAAGCGAATATTAACCCCCTCCCCTCGCCGCCAGAGCATCAAAAACTTGCTCCGCTGCTCCCTTGATCATAAAGGGGAGGGGGAGAGATTAGATAAAAAGGACGGCGTTAAAAAGTGGGAATAGACGGAATCAAGGCGAATACAACCCCCCTCCCCTCACCGCCACAGCATCAAAAACTTGCTCCGCTGCTAACTTGATCCTAAACTGCTTGCGTAACCAGGGATGTGTCAAGATTTACCACTGAACCTCGACAAACCATACACAGATGTGCTTGACACGTCACGTTGCACAATTGGTACTGCTTTCAAAAATCTGGAAAAGAATAAGGGTGGTATTAAGAATCCAATCAGCAGCTTCTGAATATATGCACATATTCCTTGCACCGCTAGCACATTCTACGTTCTCCACAAAATGCCTCTTCTAGACAACCACGCTAGCATATTGCACAGGATGATTTCCAGTGTATCTTGTGGAAGCTATCATCAGAGTGTAAGCCGTTGAAAGTAGATACTACTTCAAAGTGACCATTGCTTCGAACATGACCGTCGAATCCTCCCCTGCCAATTTTTTCATATTTCAAAGTTAAGATGTAATTGAAAGATGCTTTTTCAATATTTCGCATGAGTCCCCCTCACACAGCACAATCAACGCCAATACACAATCTACAACTTCATAACAACTATTTCATGCAGACAAAAAACTGACACAGTCAATTTCTTTTTGTAGGGCAGCTTTTCAATCTGTATCTACTGCTGGCGAACCCCAACCCGCATCGCTCGAGAAGGATGAACTCACATCGCGCCATCGTCAAATGATGCAAGCAATTTCTTGTTATACTTCGTAAGATGCCACTAAGCTGCTGAGCCACCTTGTACCCTCCACGTCAATTCCACGTTGAGTCACCATAGCTCGTCCACATCAGCCCCAATGCTATCTCATCTCCTTATATCATCATGACTTGTCTACATCATCATCCATACTGCCATGTCACCTCTTCAATATACTTAGAATTAAGGTAAATTATGATTACCACATAAAAGTGGCTAGGATAACTCAAATGTACATATAGTCCTTTGTGTATGAGACAAATATCAATTAATTGTTATTCATGCAACATGGTATTATAGCAAATTTAGGGTAGTGTTTAGGTCTGATAAGCCCTATTACTAATTTAGAAAATAGAGAGAGAAAGTGGTAGAAGAGATAACAAACTTGAAGTTTAGAAGTTCACAAACTATGAAGTAGGAGAGTCAAGCAAACTAATTGGAGTCTAAAACTATTTTGTTTGGAAATTAAAGATGATTGTCATTTTGAAGTGAGAGAATTTGTGGAATATTGTAGAAATAAAGAAGGTAGTATCATTGTTTCTTATTACCATACTAGGAAAGTCTTACCTAGAAACTCGGCTTGCAAAAGCAAAGCAAAGAACTTTGTTAGGTCTCACCATGTCAATTGCAGATAGTTCAATAAGCACAATTTTTCAATACATCGACCTTGTAGATTTATAGGATATGCTTAGAGGAATGTTTCATGCATGAAATCAACAACAAATCATTTTATTGACTAATAAATTCAATGGAATAACAATGAAGGAAGAAAATGACATTAACACTTACCTAATAGAGGCGATGGATATGAAGAACTATGTGAAGGCATTTGATGAAGAAATTGCAAACAAGACTTTTATAAATGCACTCGTCAATAGACTACTATGAAGCTACAAAATGGTGATTCAAGGCATCACCTACATGATACAACCAACGTTTGAAGATATTATGTATAAGCTTCTAATCAAAACTCATTATATGGCTATAAAAGAACAAAAGTTGGTATAAGAGGAAGCTCTAGTAATACAATTCCAATAAACAAAGCCATATATTTGTAGATACAATCACTTCATACAAGAAGAAGGAGGTCAAAGAGGAAGAAACTTAACTCAAAGAAAACCACATCATTTTTCTCTACATCACTTTGAAGAATCAAGACCCCATATGAGCAATTAACATTTCTAGAATACACCTAAAAGAGCTTCATACTTTACAACAAGAAGATTGAAAATTCCTACTGTTGGATTTGAACAAAAGAAGAATACAAGTTTATTTTTCTGCTATGTACGTAAAGGACCTAATTACATTATTCAAAACTGTCCACAAAACTAATACAACAATTCTAACATAAATTGTATAGAAGGAATACTTGCAAAAGTTTTAGACAAAACACAAGTGAAATCAATCTTGTTGAAATGAACTGATACGTCGACTCAAGAACCAACAACTTTTTTATTGAAGAAATCTTGAACCTTCAATTAATAGATGCACAAATTCCAAGTAGATCATTGAAAATTATAGATGGCAACTTTCTCATGGTTGAAGCTGCCGGTTCAGCTTATATATAACTTTAATATCTAGTCCAATAAATCTTCACAATGTTTTATAGGTCCTAACCTTGGATTAAAATTTAATTTCAAAAAGAATACTAACAAAACATAACAAGGTAGTTAATTTCAAAAAGAATACTAACAAAACATAACAAGGAAATAAATAAAATAGATTCTATTAATTTTATAATAAAATATTAAAACCATTTATTATTGAAGTAAATTAAGTGACAAAAAAAATTCTAAATTATAGCATAAAAGGTTTAAACACTTATATTATAGTGTATTATATCATTTCTTAACAGCTTGCCAAGAAAAAAAACTACCATTACTTTACACACTAAAAGAGATACACAAAGACTACCTTGTCAAACAACAATATTGAGAAAGATTTCTAAAAAGTTTACTTTATTAATCAAAAAAGATATTACAACTTATATTCTTTGATTTAATTGGACATATGAAAATACCATCTTTGAAAGGCTCCATATACTTTGTAATATTCATTGATGATTACTCCCAAAAGAGTTCGATATACTTCATGCAAAGCAAGAGTAAAATATACAAGAAATTTAGGAAATTTAAAAACCATGTAAAGAAAGAAACATGAAATCAACATTATATCTAAAGATGGATAAAGGGAGAAAAATATCTAACATTGGAATTCAATGACTACTTAACAATACAAGGAATCAAGAGGTAATTCATTATGGCACATATTTTGCAGAATGGAGTTAGCAAAAAAAAAAAAAAAAAAAAAAAAAAAACCAAACCAAACCATAGTAGAGAGATCACATCCAATGTCTATCGCATGTTGACTTCTAATCTACCCATAGACCAAAGTAGTCTATTGTACAAACTAAATAAATATTAACATATATAATTTAGTTTTATTACAAAGTTGTTCTAAGATAATTCCTTTCTTTACTCCAATAGTGAGTAAAGAAAGGAATTATCTTAGAACAACTTTGTAATAAAACCAAATTATATGTAGGCCATCTAAAAGTATTGGCATTGATTTTTTATTTTCATATTTTAAAAGAAAATAGAATTAACTTAAAAAGTAAAATAATTAAGTATATATTTTGAGAATATGATGTTCAAACCAAAGCTTATATATTATTTAACTCCATACAATGCAAAATTTGTATTAATTGAGATATAGCGTTAGACAAGATCTTAATAGGTTTTGAACATGTACATAAAAATACATCTCTAATAGAAAAAGTAGAATTATTTTTAGAAATTGAGTTTTCAATTAAAGGTATAATTAATATAATAAATCAAAAAATGAATGATTCAAGTAATTTAACTATGAGTTTTGATTTTAAAAAAGAAGAATATACATGCCCTAATATAGGTACATTGCAAGCTCTAGCAGATGGCTTATTTAAGACCACGTCAAGTTATGATTCTAATTCATCTAAGAAAGCTTATCAACAAACAAACACTAAACATAATCATCAATGTGTCAGGGACAAAGACTCGATACACAAAAAGGCTATCTCGATATAATAAGTCAAAATATAAACAAGTAGGTATATTAAAAGGAAACTGGAATGGCTATTGCCACAAGACAAGAAACTAAAGATTCTTGAACCTGGACTAGAAGCAAGAAAGGAGTTGACAAGAATGAAGAAGCCTTCACTCTTATCTCTATATATACAATCTAACTAAGAGCTACGTGGCGATGTTCTAGAGGACCTCCAATAGGTGTTGACTTTGTAGGACACATGCCTTGACTTACAAGGCAAGTTTTTCTACGTGTGGGCCACATAGTTAGCTTGATCTTCAAGCTAACAACATGTGTGGCACATGGCCAACTTGTTGACCACATTTCTAATCCAAAAAGTCAATTAAAGACACCTATGAAGTCAAAGCAGCGTTTAGGAAGTATTTAGGAAGCTTCTATATTAAATATTATAGAATTAACTTACTTTTATCTACTTTTACTTACTTCTACCTATTTCTACATGTAATTATTAGCTTACATGATTATGGCCGTGACATTACCCCCCCTTCTAGAGACGAGTTCCACGAGGAGCGGTCATCATATGTTGAGGAAATCTATGATGCGTCGAATTGTATTCGCCACATATTCTGATTTCTATTCTCTTCGAAGATGATTGATAGGGCCTCTCAACCATCGGTAGTGTCCCATACCAGGGCGGAAAGACTACCTAGTTATTTGATAATTGTTGAGGCCTTCGTAACTTCCTTTGAATAGAATACTTGAAACACCATCAAGAGTTGTTCCTACCTCTAGCAAAATCACCAAACATCGGGAGTCCCTTCCCAAACCGTGATACCAAATGCATTGTATCTCACCATCTATTCGTGGAAGAACATGTCGTTCTTGAAGATGTTCATCTCGATTGCGTCGTCTTGAAGGTTGTGACAATCGTAATGTCTCGTCAGGCAGGTCAGCAAACGAAGGTTCTTGAGTTGAATCCGCTGGTTGTTGGCTCTCCATCTAATTAGCGTCACAAATGCAAAGAAGTTACAAACAAGGATTGGAAATTGAATATTATCTTGCCTCAAACTTGTCTCTTTTATACGAGAGATTTTCATCCTGGTTTTGATGGATGTCGTTGATGAAAAACTTTGACTTTAGCTGATGCATTTGCTAGATTCCTGGATGGCTCCCAGGTGCATTCACTAATATCATATCCGCGCCAATGAACAAGATATTTCAGCTTATTTCGGCGCCGCCTTGAGTCTAATATCTCTTCCACCTCAAATTCTTCATTATTATCTACTTCTATAGGAGGCAGTGGCATTTGTCTTCTTCCTTGTATATCGACTATCTTATATGGTTCAAAAAGAGACACGTGGAATATTGAATGGATCTTCATTGACTTCGATAGATGTAACCGATATGCAACTAGGTTGATCTGTTCAGAAACAGAAAAGGGGCCAAGCCTACGATAGTCCAACTTGTTACAAGGTCGAATAGTCTTGATATTGCGACGAAGTAGCCATACCTTATCACCCACGTTGAGTTGTGGTTGCTCCTTACGATATAGATCTGCGTTTATCTTTTGTCGTTCTTGAGCTTCCTTCAATTGCGTCTTCATTATTACATGTAACTCTGACAACCAATTTCCCATATCTTCTGCTGCAGGATTATCAACTTTTGAAAAATCAAAAGTATCAAGTCGTGGATGATAGCCATAATTGGCAAAGAAAGGTGTTTGTTGCGTGGAAGAATGTACCGTATTATTATAAGCAAACTCTGCCAATGGCAGAAGGGTTGTCCAATTATCTTGTTGATAGTTGATAGTACACCTTAAATATTCCTCCAAGACTTGGTTTACGCGCTCTATTTGTCCATCAATTCGAGGATGGAAAGCCGAAGATAGCTTTATGTCCACTTTTAAAATCTTGAAAAGGGTCATCCAAAATCTTGACACAAATTGAGTTC